TTGACTGTTTTATGCTTTAATGACTACCTGAGACTATTTGGCAGAAGAGTTAATGGATTCTAGCCACACACCAACACAACATAAAAAATATACAACCTTATCCTATGCAACAATCTTACTGCTTTAGCACACTGTGACATGTGTAGGATGAAACTAGCTGGCTGGATGTGAGTTAGGTATCTGGCTGCAGAGTCAGAGGTTAGGAATTTGATCCCCTACTGTGAGTCCCAGAAGAACCAGCCTTTGTATCCTTGGACAAGCCGCATAATGCCAGGATGCCCCCAGAAAAGGGAAAATCCTGAAAAGGATCACTGTTGGATAGCTCAGTGGTTTGTGGTTGGAAATTCGATTCCCCACCATGCCTCCTTGACAGGAGCAGGACTCAATGATCCATAAAGCCCATTCCAGCTCTACAGTTCTAAGATTGTTATAGATCATTATTATAAGTCAGAATTGGCTTGCAAGCACATGATGATGATGATGATGATGATGATGATGATGATGATGACGACGACGACGACGACGACGACGACGACGACGACGACGACGACGATGACGACGACACTATACATTCCCCTTCTCTTATAAATGTAAGTGTGGATTTAAACATCAAATACATCTGGACTGGCATCTTCCTTTTTATCTCTCATATTACAAATGAATACTTTGAGTATTGACTAACTAATACTGTATGTATATGAATCCATTTTACAGTTACTGCTTTTTCTCTCTTAATGTGAACTTCACATTTTGGGTAAAATATCTGTGAAGATTCTCAGTCATCCAGGTGTGGTTATCTGGAAGCTGAGTCATGGCAACTGAATGTCTTTCTTGTTAGGTTGAAACATTTCCCTACTCATCCAAGTAGCATCTTCAGTCTGAGGAGAGTTGGTAGGAGATCCATGTTATATCCTCTAGGTTGGTTTCTCTTCCCCCAGGTCTGAACAGACTTCTTAGAAAGACAAAGGACTGGGGGTGAGGGATAATCCTACTTCTGCAGTCCTTCTCCATCCATTGTCATGGGTCATTAATGGTAGTTTCTTGTGTGTGTGGTCCTAATCTTTCTGACAGATGTGTCTGAAAATCTCAAAAGGGTTTTTGGTAAACACCATATACCCGTGCACTTCAAACCTACAAACACACTAAGGCTCATTCACCCAAAAGACCAGACACCAAAACACAACAGGAGCAATATAGTATATGCAGTCCAATGCAAACAGGAGTGTTTGGAGCTCTACATTGGAGAAACCAGACAGTCACTAAACAGGAGAATGGCCCAGCACAGGAGGGGCAATTGCTCAGGACCACAATCAGCAGTGTTCCTTCATTTGAAGGACAAAAGGCACTCATTCGATGACCAAGATGTACTCATTTTGGGCTGAGAAGATATGTGGTTTGAGAGAGGGGTCAGGGAGGCCATACGTGTGGATATAGAAAATCCCTCACGGGGGTGGAAGCCTTAGATACAATCTGTCCCTTGTTTATCATGCTTTTTAAAATACTTCCCAAGATTGGATGTCCACCTCGACTCCTTAACATTATCAGTTTTTTCATGAGGAAATGAAGGGCATTGTAGTTTTTAATGGCTCAGCATCAGATCCCTTTGTCATCCGAAGTGGAATGAAATAGGGCTGTGTCCTCGCAACGACCCTGTTTGGGATCTTTTTTTGCTGTCATGCTGAAGCATGCCTTTGGAATTGCAACAGAAGGTGTCTATCTCCGGACTAGATCAGATGGAAAGCTTTTTAATCTCTCTAGATTGAGAGCAAAGACCAAAGTCCAGCTGAAATGCATGTGGGACTTCCTCTTCGCCAATGATGCAGCTGTTGTTGCCCATTCTACTGAAGACCTCCAACAACTCATGAATCGTTTCAGCAAGGCCTGCCAAGACTTTGGATTAACAATCAGCCTGAAAAAAACACAAGTCATGGGCCAGGGCGTGGACTCATCTCCCTCTATTAACATCTTTACACAAGAATTGGAGATTGTTCATGATTTTGTGTACCTTGGCTCAACGATCTCTGACACTCTCTCCCTAGATGTCAAGCTGGATAAAGGCATTGGCAAAGCAGCTACCATGTTCTCTAGACTCACAAAGAAAGTATGGCTTAATAAGAAGCTGACAGCATATACCAAGATCCAGGTCTATCGAGCCTGTGTCCTGAGTACACTCCTGTACTGCAGTGAGTCCTGGACCCTATGTGCATTGTAGGAGATGAAGACGAACATGTTCCATATGTGTTGTCTCCTATGCATTTTTGGTATCACCTGGCAGGACAAAGTTCCAAATAAAGTAGTCCTAGAACAAGCTGGAATGTTTAGCATGTATACATTACTGAACCAGCAACGTCTACGTTGGCTTGGGCATGTCGTGAGAATGGCTGATGGTTGGATTCCAAAAGATCTCCTGTATGGAGAATTAGTGCAGGGAAATCACCCCAGAGGGAGACCACAGCTGTGATACTTGGATATGTGCAAGTGGGATCTGAAGGCCTGAGGAATGGACCTCAACAGATGGGAAACTTTGACATCTGAGCGTTCAGCCTGGAGGCAGACAGTGCATCATGCCCTCTCCCATTTTGAAGAGACACTTGTTCAGCAGGTTGAGGCAAAGAGGCAGTCCCGAAACCAGCAAAATCAGGGAGCTCAACAGGGGACAGATTGTGTTTATCTTCAGTGTGAAAGGGATTCTCAGTCTCGAATTGGCCTTCTCAGCCACACTAGATGCTGTACAAAGTCCTGTTCAGAGCATGTTACCACAGTCTCTCGAGACTGAAGGATGTCTAATCAAGTGAAGTCCCAAGCCTCAAAATTGCTAGTTACAGCTCTAGACTTAACCCTCTATAACTAGAACATACTTAAGATTGCTTTGCAAATCCCACTTGAATCTTTCAATTAACTTTTGAAAAAACATGGTGTGGACTACATCTGTTCTTGTGTCTTTTTAGCAATTTTAAAAATATGACTGTGCAGTGAACAAAAGAAGCACTTTTAACCCTCATAATTTATTAATAAGTGCCAGAGAGTTAAACTGAATAAGCACTTGATAAAGTGAATGATGAGGTGCCTGATCGCCGTTCTAGCTTGTGGTTAGTTACATACATTTGGAACACTTTATTTCAACAGACAAGGTTTGATAAACAAAGATACTGTTCATACAGAGTTCTGTAGAAAAAACAAAGAGCAACATCTGGTAATCAGCCAATGCAAATAACGAGTGTTCAGATCACAATGATTCTACCCATGTTATTTTCTTGCTTTTCAAATGGGTGTTGGGATTGTCTTGTTTCGAGGGTGGAGGTTTGGTGTTCTTGGGTTTTGTAAACTGCCCCGAGTAGTGGCTCACCACTAGATGATGATATTGTTGCTATAGTGACGCTAACAGGGCTTGCCAGGAAAGTGAAATACAGTGGTGCCTCAACTTATGAACATCCTGATATAAGACCATTTCAAGTTACAACCAGCTCTTGCGGCCGGAGCTTTAAGTGACAACCAGAAAAAGGCAGGGAAAAAAGGCGGAAATTCAAATTGCCAACTTCTGGTAGGCGAAGAGACTGCTTCTTTGTAGCTCTTTCTCCCCAGCGGTTAGAGAGTGTGCGGTCCAAGGAGGCTTCGGAGTGCCTGGGAAGGTAAGGTGCTGCTTTCTACCTTTTAAAAACTGTTCTGGGTGGGTTTTGCAGCGTGGTTTTGGGCTGGGTGGTGGGATTATGTTTCTATGCTGTGCTGGGTCTTGCAGGGTCTGTTTGTTTTTTGAGGGGATTCCCACTTCCAATGGGTCTTTCATGGTTTGTTTGCTTTCTGCTTTGCTTTTTTTGCATTTCCGAAGGGTCTTGCACAGTTTGTTTGCTTTTCCCCTTTCCCCCCCTTAGCGGTCTTGCACAGTTTGTTTGCTTTTCCCCCCTTAGCCCAGAACGGATTAATCGCGTTTCCAATGGGTCTTGCAGTGTTGGGGTGTGTGTGTTTTTGGGAGGGTTGGGGTTTTTTGGTGATTTTTTTCTTCTGTCGGAATGGATTAATTGCATTTCAATGGGAAATGGTGCTTCGACTTCCAACCACTTCGAGTTACGACCGGAGTTCTGGAACCAATTAAGTTTGTAAGTCGAGGCACCACTGTACTCCACTGTTTTACCAGTCCCACTCCCTCTCTGAGTTTCCATGGCAGAGTGGGAATTCAAACCCTGGTTTCTAGAATCCTATTCCATCACTCTATGCTTTAGCTGTGGATTTCCTGCTGTGTCAGGGGTCAGGGGGTGCACTCTACAAATCTCTGATTCTATGAAAAAACAATTCCCAGATGAGAAATAACACATGTATAGGTGGCATGTTTACGCTAGAAAGGTACAGACACGCCAGAATATTCAGCCGGCACAGCAACAGATCTTAGAAAGAATACTTTTTTGAAGGGCAGGTCCCAGAACTCCCTACCCAGCACGAGTTTTTCCAAGCTCTGCCCTGCAGGCAAGAATCTGTCTCGCCTCAATAAGTAGCAGAAGCAGACCATTTTTGGTCTGATCGAAAGAATCCTCGTAAACTTTTAACTCGTCTGGCTGGGTGGTCAGATGCCTTTTCCGGCCTCGCTTTGAAGCGAGACATGAACTAGACGGAAAGGGCAAGACCCAGCCAGTGTACTCCAGAAAGAGGTGGTTCCCGGCAACGCCCCCACACTAAGAGACCGCGTTCGTTGTGACGTCAGGGAGAGGGCTTTTTGGGAACCCTTGGGTTCAGAACAAAATTGGAATGTACCACGTCCTCTGGAAAGCAGGGGGAGCGTGAGCCAGCATTCAACCCCCAAATCTGCTTCTCCTGCTTTCCTTCTCCAGAGGAAGGGCCACGTGTCTGCGCGGCCCTTGACACGCAAGCTTTCTTCTACATGTATCATTTGTGTGAAAAACTGGAGGGAGGAAAGCGCCTTAGCTCCCGGGTCCTTCCTTCTTCCCCCCCTGCTTGCACTTGGTAGCTGCCGATGGCGTCAGTGCCGGCTGGAGGTGTGTGCTCCGTTTCAAGGGACTGGACCTCCGGCAGCGGCGATTAGCGTATTAAGGAGAGGCGGGAGCGGCGATTATTCTCCTGGGATTCCCTTTCAAACGGGTACCTCCGGCTCTTTCATCTCCCAAAGGAGCGTTTGGCTCGGAAAGGCAGACAGCCGCCGGTGTAGCAGGTGCAGAGTAGGCCGGCTTCCATTGGCTCAGGCGGCTTCTCCCCCTTGCCCGGCACCTTCCAGTTGTCTTCTTCCCGGCTTGCCGCAGGTAGCGTTATTATGTATCAGAGTCCCGCTAGGTCCCTGTGTTCGGCCCTCGCTAACCTCTGCTGCCCGCCTTGTTCCGCCACGTCCTCGACCCGGCTGCTCCGGTCCCCTGGTTCAGTGAAGAGAGCCCTCTCCCCGCCAGCCCTCCTGGCCTCCTCCGCCTCGACTGCCGCCGGCCTCCCTGCTCGCTGCGGCTGTTCTCCCGCAGCAAGCTCAGGTGCGGCAAGTTCGCCACCAGGTGAGTGCTTGGAACCCTGGGGAGCGAGCGTTCCGCGGGTGGAACGTTCAGGTTCGGGCGTTCTAATTGAAACCCTTCACTCTCGCCCAGAAAGGGGAGTGGTGGATTATTGTTAGAGCTGGGAAATATCAAAGTCTTTCAGTTATATAAACCGCCTTGAGGCTTTTTTAAGGAGAACGGTCGGCTAAAACTTTGTTAAATGAATAGATATGAATTGTCAGTTAAGAAAATGCCCAGCCTGATGGAGACTCCTGTAGAGTCGAAAGCTATTTTAGAGGTCTAAATAAACGTATCATCCACTGTTGTTTTCAGATTTGGTGTTTATGAATTCCTATTTTATAGGGCTTAAGGGAAATCATTACACAATGCTCCTGTAAAAACTTAATAGTTCTTATTACTGTATTTGTCCTTGGTCGATTTGTTTCACCAAAAAGATATCGCGTGCTTTGAAAATCAGGAAGAAATCACTGATCTAGTTTGGCAGCCTTTACTGTATAGCACCCTGATATGGACTGGGATGTGTTGGGTTAAGTGAGTATCAATAATATTCCCGCTGTAGTCATTCCTGGCAGACTACAGTTGGTTAGATGAATTTCTGCCCCTTGAAAATTTGAAAAGCCAAAAATGTATTTAAAATAACTGCTAAGATGCAGTTTGACATATATCTACTCAGAAGTAAATCTCACAGAGTTGATTGTGTGAGTGTGTGTGCGTGTTAACATCCTCAGTATATATATGTAGAAACTTATCTTTTCAAAATCTTAAATTTGGAATACTTTATTATTCCATCCTTCTAAAGTCTGACTCAGAAATGAGAAGCTATTAGTAGTGAAGGCTTCTTGCCTGCAGTTGCTCACCCTCATTGCAGCACAAATAGCAAGGGAACAAATTGTTCTTAGGAATCTTTTTCACTTTTCCCTGAATCACGTAAGAGAAAGGGGCTGAATCATCTGCCTTGTAATCTTACCTGCAGAAGAATCCTGTCCATATCCACTGGAACGTCTTTGGAGTCCATGGTTCAAGAATTGTATCTCAAATGTACTTCTTATCTCTTGCCTTTATCTGTTTCCATTATAAATTACTTACGCGATGACTGTATATCATCGTATTGTTATGAGGTGTTGATCACAGCTCAGTGTTAGAGAACATGCTTTGCAGACAGAAGCTATCCAGGTCCACTTCCTGGTATGCCATATAAAGAAGATAAGGAAGGAGCTGTGGCTGACCAATATTGGAGACTGGTCTTGGGAAATGTAAGTTCCTCATTGTGAAACCACAAAAGGGGTAGGAGAGAGACAAGTGACATTTGAACTTCAAGCTCATCATCATCATTTTTTAAAATAAAACAAGCAAATAGGAAATCCAATAAATAAAAAAATAATTTTTCCCCTCCTGGTGCGCAGCCTTTTCAGAATGGGGGCTATGTTTGATGTCACCTTAATGGGATCAGTACTCCAGGTACACGCATACCAGCAAACTCTTTGTTGGAGGGTATAATCTTCTTTCCCTGCCTTCTCCCAGTGTAGAAAGAGCCATCTGTATGGGGATCTGTGGAGGAAGAAAATGAAAACGTTCTTCTCACTATCTGCCATAGTGATATCCTCATTCAAATTGCTCTTTTCTTGGTGCAGTAAAATTCCCCGAGGGGGGGGGAGAGATAAGAGACAGTAAAGACAGGAACACAATCTGTTTAGACCAGTGGTTCCCAGCCTTGGGTCCCCAGATGTTCTTGAACTACAACTCCCAGAAATCCTGGCGAGCACAGCAAATGGTGAAGGCTTGTGGGAATTTTAATCCAATAACATCTGGAGTCCCAAGGTTGGAAACCACTGGTTTAGACCCATGGCCCAGCACTGTGATGATATGAATTTCTGTGATACAGTGATATTATTTGGACGTAATCCCAACTAAGTGTTCAATACCACTTTCTCACATCTCTGTTCCAAGAAGTGAAACCACAAGAAGTAAGATCCTGAAAATAACCACTTTGTCTTAGAGCTGTGAATCTGGCATGTTTTGATGACTGCATTGTTCTGTTGGAGTGAATTTGATTGACTTTGGATTAATTATGGCATGTGAGATCTGTGGATTCAGGGACCCTGGTCGTGGTCCCCTGTTTGTCCATCCTTGGAACTTCTGTCTTGCTGAAGATTTCTGTGATACAGTGATATTATTTGGACGTAATCCCAACTAAGTGTTCAATACCACTTTCTCACATCTCTGTTCCAAGAAGTGAAACCACAAGAAGTAAGATCCTGAAAATAACCACTTTGTCTTAGAGCTGTGAATCTGGCATGTTTTGATGACTGCATTGTTCTGTTGCAGTGAATTTGATTGACTTTGGATTAATTATGGCATGTGAGATCTGTGGATTCAGGGACCCTGGTCGTGGTCCCCTGTTTGTCCATCCTTTGAACTTCTGCTGTCTTGCTGAATCACTATGTGCTGAGACAACACTTTCAGGCTTTGAGTAGCACAGGTCAGGAAGACCAATTAAACATTTTAAAGCTGGGGATTGTGTGGGTTATTGATTTCCAAATCACATTCTCCGTGGTGATGCCTGAGAATCCACTGCATGCTTTTTAGGGAGTAAGCCCTGTTCAGCTCACCGGCTTTATGCCTGAGTAAATATGCTGTTTAACCTACAGTGTCTGAAGTGACTCTGTCAGTTGCTAGAGTGGATGAATTCTTGCAGATTCAGTGGATGGATTCTGCAGGTATCAGCAGTCTGCGATTGACCCTCTGTTGCATAAGTATGAATGAGTAACCTGCTGTAAATTACAGTGTGATGACTCAGCAACTTGTCAGACCTGTTGGAAGCAGCCGCACTCTGCACCATGCTGGACAGAAGAAGCTGGTAGACTTTCATACTTCATTGCTGAGGCTCTGCAGGGATCTCACCCCACCTACCTACTCTCCCCAACCATTACAACATCTTGATGGCTCTGACAAGCCAAGTGTAAAGTCGTAACAGTACAATTCTTAAAAGCCTGTTTGATGAAGAGGCAGCAGAATGTGTGAAAAAAGATACACACACCAGTTCCCAACCTGTCATCTTCCCGTTGTGTTGGGCTGCCACTCCCATGATCCCCCAGCCAGTGCTAGCTGGAGCATTATGGGACTAGAGTCCAACACAGCTGGAAGACTGAACAGTGTGAACCTCTGCCCGAGGCTACAGCTCTTTAAGGTGGAGCAAAGCATCTTTCTTATGGAGTAAGTTGATAAAAGGCTAGGACTGCAAGGGTTCCCATAGGGTGTCTGCCTTTCAGCTATTAGGAGGTGAGCTGCTGACAGATCAAAGGCTGGTTTTATGTTTTTAGAAAGAAAGCTGTGCTGTACTTATTGGGGATAGGGTACTAGATTAGATTCTTTGTTTCAGTGGAGCCCCAGAAGTTTTATCTGACCGGCTAGGACACTGGCCTGCTGTGCAGTGCAGAAAGCAGAATTAATTGCAAGCTATGCAGTTACCTCAGCTCAGGAAAAAAATATAGGATATTGCAAGATCAGCTCAGGGCAATGCAGACATGACACAGTAACTTGGTTGCGCATGAAGATCTTGAGGTGGGGAGAAGGGAAGGAACACCTGTGCATGCAATTGGATGCTTGCTGATGGTTTTGAGAACCCATTCGGCCAGTAAAGGTCAATATTGCAAATATTGATTCCAAACACTGCAGAGAAGGGTGGTGACGGGGAATCACAGATTAAAATGACCATGCAATATGTATGTGTTAAGTGGGCTTCAGCTTTTCTGGTGTCCTTTTCTTATTGGTATATTTGTGGTTCAGGCTATCCTCCCCTTCTCCAAAGTGTATTATTTAGTGCTGTTCAGGTTCACTTCAAAATTGCAAACAAGCTGAAACAGTTTTGCATCGCAATTACTTATCTCCATAGGCTGTGTCAGTTGTGTCTCAGATACATTTGTATCCTGGAATACATTTTTTAATTCATGGTAAGGAAATGGTATCCCTAGCCTTTCTCTAGATCTGTTTTGTATCCACGTGTTGGTACAGTGCCTCAGATAACAAAGGCAATGATGGCTTGTGTGTTTTTACAAAGGAAAAAGAATGGTTTTGCACCAGGTTTTAATGCTCAGTTGGCTTCCTATATATAGCATTGCCATGAATACTGGACCTGCTTGATTGGCAGATGCACCACTGCATTGTGCAATAAGGGAAACCTGGATTTCTGTTAATCAAGGATGGATCTGAATTGTGTTACGACATAAATGGAGTATTCAGTTGTCGGGATGCTTGATAAGCTGTCTAAAGTAATCCATCAATTTCCTTGCTCTTGAATAAAGGCAGTTTGCCATTACTGGCCTTCAGTAATTCAGATTAGGGCTGCCATAGGGATATTCTACCCATCTAGAGCCAACCAGGTGTACTGATTGAAATATCAGGCAAAGACTTGTGAGTCTTGAGATCGAATCCCTATTCAGCCGTGAAACTCACTGGGCAGGTGACCTTGGACTAGTTACCTTCTCTCAGATTACCTTACAGGGTCATTGTGGTAAAATAGTATTTTAAAATGGTAAAGAGACATCTACAGTTTTTTCAGGTCATTGGAGAAAAGGTAGGATGTGGTTTAAAAAAAAAAAAAGATTTCATACTCATCTAAATCCGGTTGTACCAGGGCATTCCTTGCCTTAGTTCGGTTTGGTTCAGTATTTCTTCACTAGTTCCTTTTAGGGAAAGGAAAGGAATGTGGTGGGGGCAGGGAGGGAGAAGTAAAAGGAGAGACCCACAGTGTAAACAAGTTAGAAATATGTTCCCAGTCTGCTCAAAGGTAGATCACACTCTCTGGAAAGTTTGAAGATAACTTGAAACAAGCATGTTCATCCAAAGTACACATGCCAGTGGTGGGTGTATTGCTTAAATCTTACTTTCTACTCTGCCTTGTGTACAATTGCCATATCAGTTTGGATATGATGACCTCCTAAGAATTTGGCTAGAAGGATGTTTATGAGAGAATCTCTCCTTATTCATGGAAGCAATTAAGGTGGCAAAGCAGGCCAGGTGGTAGCGTGGTTTGTTCAGGCATTTGGATAAGAATCTGTGTCAATATAAAAGTTAGATTTTTCAGTTTTCGGGGACTCGCAATGAGTGAGCAGAAGTGTATTTGTCAAAGGGGGCAGCAACAAACTGAAGCCTGTGTCTGTTCTCTCCCAGTGGGCCAGCATTCAGCTTCTGGAGTAAGGGATGGGTGAAGCCAGCTTTTAAAAAGTACAGTACAATAAATCCATCAACATCTACATTTTAACATCAGAGCTTAGAAATGTTACATTCCTGGACAATAGCTTCCAGAATCCCATACTGCCTGAGGATTGTAAGAATTGTAGTTGGGAAAAAATATTTTTTCCAAGGTCTGCTATATAAGGCATGGAATTGCTTTAATAATAGAATCATGAAGTTGGAAGGGGGCCTATAAGGCCATCGGGTCCAACGCCCTGTTCAGTGCAGGAATACAAATCAAAGGATATCGGCCAGGTGGTTGTCTAAATTTCTCTTGAATGTATCCAGTGTTGCAACACTCACCACCTCTAGAGGCAGTTGGTTCCATTGCCATATTGCTCTAACAGTTAGGGAGTTTTTCCTGTTATTCAACCAAAATCTGGCTTCCTGTAACTTGAGCCCATTGTTGTGTGTCCTGCACTCTGGGATGATCGAGAACAGATCCTGCCCCTCCTCTGTATGACAGCCTTTCAGGTATTTGAAAAATGTTATATTATTATTCCTCTGCCTTCTTTTCTCAAGGCTAAACATGCCCAATACTTTCAGTCATTGCTCAGAAGGCTTGGTTTCCAGCCCCCTGATCCTCCTTGTTGCCCTCCTCTGTACTCCAGTTTGTCAGCATCCTTCTTGAAATGTGGTGTCCAGAAATGATCACACTACTCAAGATGAGGCCAAACCAGTGTTGAATAAAGGGGAACTAGTACCTCATGGGTTTTGGAGATTATACTTCTATTAAAAGGTAAAGGTAAAGGTTCCCCATGACAATTTTTTTTGTTGAGTCGTGTTTGGCTCTAGGGGGTGGTACTCATCCCATTTTTCAAGCCGTAGAGCCAGCGCTTGTCCGAAGACAGTTTCCGTTGTCACGTAGCCAGTGTGACTAGGGAACACCATTTTACCTTCCCACCAAGGTGGTACCTATTTATCTACTCGCATTTGCATGCTTTCGAACTGCTAGGTTGGCGAGGAGCTGAGACAAGCAACGGGAGCTCACTCCGTCATGTGGATTCGATCTTACGACTGCTGGTCTTCTGACCCTGCAGCACAGGCTTCTGCGGTTTAGCCCGCAGCGCCACCACGTCTATTAATGCAGCCTAAAATAGCATTTGCAATTTTTTTTAGCATGTCGCACTGTTGGTGATATTCAGCTTGTGATCTACAATGAGTTGAAGATCTTTCTCGCTCATAGTAATGTGTGAGGGCATCCTGGCTTATTGTACATGAGCAGATTCAATGTTAGAATTTTCTAGAGCTGCTAGCTAATTATGACTAGGAATTTTTTTAAAAGACTCTTCCATTTGTGAAGGTTCCACACAAGCACAATAGGTGTCACCAGTGAGCTAATGTAACTAGAATAAAATGCTCACATGACATTGGAAGCTGGCAGTTCTGTATGAGATTCACCATTATACTTGTTTACTGCTCACGCGGATGCACTCATCCAGTTTATCAGGTGTGTATTCTAGATGAAATGTCTTCATTCAGTGCTCTGGGTTTTTTACTTGGTATACTGCAAAGCCGACTTCGTGGAATAGACGGAAGCTTAACAGTCCTGGAAACATATTTGAGTTTGTACAGATGAGGTATGATGATTCATTTTCATACAGGTTTTAACCTGTACCATCTTAACAGTTGGGCAGAAATAAAAGTTACGAAGGAGAGTCATCTCCTGGTGCGATGGAAAGCAAGGTTTTGAATGAACAGGTTGTGGACATTTTTAAAGAGGGTGGGATTGTTATGCTTTTAAAACCTTAAAAACCTTGTGGGATTTAATTCAAAATTTGCTGCTATTTGGACATTGTTTGTATGTTTGACACTTGGGAACTATCAGAAATAAATTTGTCTTTGTACGAAAATGTAACCACCCCAGCCAGCTTGGCAAGTGAACAGAGTACTGTACATACTTAACTGTAATCGTGGTGCTCAATGTGTTAAAGGCAGCACTTAGCAGCCTGCAGGAGGCTAATTAAACAGTACCCCACAGACTGTTCGGTACAGCCTCTAGGGCAATGAGAGCTTTTTTTTGACAAAGTAGGTGAATCTTTAGCAGTCATGGCACGTTCTGCATTTGCTGGGAAAATGAAATTGTTGAGAAATCGGAAGCAGTACTGCCTGTTTTCAGAGGACAAAGTAAACCACAGGCTCAGACCTGCTCTTAATAATTTGCACAGTCAAAGCTTCCGCCATTCCACACAGCATTTCAGAGATCTGTAGCAATAATAGCTTGTGAGCCAATTTTTTTATTTAAGATCATACAGAAATATTTCCCTTGGTTGCCTTTAATGGGTAAAAGGCAACAGGTGCTGCTGCCGTGGCCTCTTCTTTGCAAAATGCCAGGGGTACACAAACGGACAGGACGTTCGTGACCACTTTGGCCTTCCTTCGATAGTGGGAAGTAAACTGTGACGTTTGTGTCACTTGGCAGATGTGGGAGATTACATAAGAAGCCAGACTGTGCAATGAGAAGCAGCGCTGTTTGGTTTATTCTGTCGTTTTTTAGTCGCTGCTATTATTGGCATGAATAGTTTCATGGTACTTTTTTTAGTCGCTGCTATTATTGGCATGAAGTTTCATGGTATAGTCTGGTGGAAAATGTCTGGCATGGACTCAGTCACCTTGGGATTTGAGTCAAAATGAAAGGCTTAACAGACAAGTGGAAGAAAGCTGCTGTCCTCGCCACTAGTCGGGTCCTATGTGCCTTAAACTGATTCGTCACAGAAGCTTTCATCATGGAATGCTCTTGTGCCAAAAGTTGTTAAGTATTGGTAAGTGACATTCCATACCAGAGGGAGCCTTCATCTAGAAGATTTAAGAGGAAAATTGCACATAGCCTTCATGACAAAGAAATGGGACCTGTACTTTATCTGCATATATCCCTTTAGGAATGAGTATTGATTTCTCTATTCATAGACTGATGGTTTCTAGTTCAAGAGACATTTACCCTTGTGGGGAACCAGTAAAAATGTGCATTAATTTATATCAAATCCAAGCATGCAGAAACCTTGGACAATATGTACTCTGCACAAATTGTCAATCACACAGCTAAATGACAGCTGGCTGATTGGTTGATAATTACAGTCCTTCCCATTATCTGCTCCCCCCCCTTTGCCCATTCTGAGTTCCTTCCAGTGTGGCTTCAAAACCAAGCAGATTATATCCTTAATTATAAGGGGTGGGTGAGTTTAGAGCCACATTTGGTGACTTGCTGTTGTTGTTGTTGTTGTTGTTGTTGCTTTCAGAGTCTTGCAGCTAGCATGGCCAATGGCCTCATCCTGTCCAAGCTGCATAGGAAAGGGGATTTCTCATACTTGGATCAGATGCTGAATGTTTTTCTTTACCTCTTTTGCAGTGTATCCCATGGGCAACAGTACAAGCAGGCTGTATAGCGCGCTTGCAAAAACTTTAAGCAGTGGTGCTTCTTCCAAACATCAAGAGTATCTGGAGCAGACCAATCCTGACCTTTTGGATCCTATAGATCCTAAGGATCTGCTTGAAGAATGCCAGATTGTTCTTCAGAAACGTCCTGCCCGACTCCAGAGAGATTTTGTTGACCTGAGGACCAATTTTGCTGCAAGCCACCGATCCATCAGAGTCATGCAGTGGAACATACTTGCCCAAGGTATGAGCCTTGCCAAGATGCTAATTGGGAAATGGTCATCAAGCCACTGTAGTATCAACTCTGAATTCTGTAAATTGTATCCAATGATGGTCATTCTGCTGACCCACAGTGTCCACTAAAAAATAGGGAGAGAGGCATTTGGAAAATTCCCAATTCTCTTCCCATCATTCCTCCTCTTTCAGAGCCTGGATGATTATACTGGGATATACAGGGAAGGAAAGTTACTAAAAATTCCCATCCAGCAACAAGGATCTTCCGTCAGCTGAGAAGCTGCCATTGTATACATTTTAAGTGTTTTCTTCTTGCTATGTCTTCTAAATAGTTAAAATGAAGGAGCAAAGGGATAATCAATGCATAATCAATGCATCTGACTTGGATGCTGTGATACAGACCCAGTGGATGTAACTTTGGCCCAGGCTTGTTCTGTTTTAATGGATACTTTTCAGTTGGTGCAGCTTCATGATGTGGGCAAGATTCTTGGAGAGGTGAAAGCCACCTCATGTGTGCTGGACCCTTGCCCTTCTGGGCTCATAAAAGCAGCAGAAGAGGAACAGCCAATTGTGTATGGGGAGTACTAAATGCCTCCTTGCAGCAGGGTAGGACCCCTGCTTGCTTAAAGGAGGCAGTAATAAGGCCACTATTGAAGAAGCCCTCCCTGGATCCCAGTGTACTGGATCACTACTGGCCAGTCTCAAACATCCCATTCCTGGGCAAGGTACTGGAGCATGTAGTGGTTTCTCAGCTCCAGGGATTCCTGGAGGAATTGGATTATTTAGGCCCATTTCAATCTGGTTTCAGGCCTGGTTATGGGACAGAGACAGCTTTGGTCGCCTTGGTGGATGACCTACACCGGGATTTGGAGAGGGGGAGTGTGTCCCTGTTGGTTCTGCTGGATCTCTCAGTGGCTTTTGATACTATTAACCATGGTATCCTTCTGGGATGGGACTCAGAGGCACAGTTTTACAGTGGCTCCAGTCCTTCCTGGAGGGGAGTACTTAGAAGATGGTGCTGGGTGATTCCTGCTCAACACCCTGGCCATTGACCAGCCATTCTGTTTTGTCCTCAGGGTTGTGCTTTGTCACCCATGCTTTTTAACATCTACATGAAACCGCTGGGAGAGGCTGTCCAGAGTTTTAGGGTTCAGTGCCACCAGTATGCAGATGACACCCATCTCTCTCTCCTTTCCACCTAATTCCAGGGAAGCTGTCTTGACTCTAAACCAGTGCTTGGCATCAGTAATGGGCTGGATGAGGGCAAACAAAGTGAAACTTAATCCAGAGAAGACAGGGGTGCGCCTGGTTAGTCAGAAGGCAGATGAGAGAATAGGGATACTACCTGTGCTGGATGGGGTTACACTCCCTCTGAAAACTCAGGTCCGCAGCTTGGGTGTAATCCTGGATTCATCCGTAAGATTGGATGTCCAGGTCTCGGTAGTGGCCAGGAGTGCTAAAGCTGGTGCGCCAGCTGCGCGTTGCTTGAGATGTCAGATCTGGCTACAGTGACACATGCCTTACTTACATCCCAGCTCCCACCAACCTAGCAGTTCGAAAGCATGCAAAATGCGCGTAGATAAATAGGTACCACCATGGTTGAAGGTAACGGTGTTCCGTGTCTAGTCGCGCTGGCTACGTAACCGTGGAAGATTGTTTTCGGACAAACACTAGCTCTATGGGTTGGAAACGGAGATGAGCACCACCCCTTAGAGTCAGACATGACTGGACAAATTGTCAAGGGGAACCTTTACCTTTACTTTACTTAACACACTCTATGTGGAACTGCCTTGGAAGACGTTCAGAAACTTCAGCAGGTGCAAAACTCTGCAGCCGGACTACTGACTGGGGACAGCTAGAGGGAGCATATACAGTGGTGCCTCGCATAACGAGCACACCGTTTAACAATGAATTTGCATAGCGATCCGTTTTTTGGGATTGCTAATGCGATCGCATACCAATGCTTTCTATGGCCGAAAATTGCTTTGCGACGATCGGTAAGCGTTTCACTTACCGATTTTCGCATAGCGATTTTTTAAAAACAGCTGATCGGCGGTTCCAAAATGGCCGCCGGACGCCCAAAATGGCCGCGTACAGCATTTTCGCGCCCTGCCCTCGCTTACCGAGGGCGCGAAAATGGCGGCCGGATGGGGAAACACCGCAGAACGGTGAGTTTTGGGCCCCATTGGGTTTTTCCGTTCCGTATAGCGATGTTTCCCCATAGCGACGGTTAATCCGGAACAGATTAACCTCGCTGTGCAGGGCACCACTGTAACACACCTGTTACAAGAACTATACTGGCTACCAGTCTGTTTCCGAGCCCAATTCAAAGTGCTGCTCATTACCTATAAAGCCCTATACATCTTGGGTCCAGGCTACCTGAAAGACCATATCTCCCTATATGTACCTTCTTGGCAATTAAGATCAGCAGAGGAGGTCCTCCTCTCTGTCCCGATAGGGACACAGGAGAGGGCCTTCTCTGTGGCAGCTCCCACGCTATGGAATGCTCTTCCTTGGGATATCAGGATGGTCCCTTCCCTTTTATCCTTTCAAAAAAAGCTAAAGACCCATCTCTTCAGGCAGGCTCTTAACAATTATAACTGAACCCCATTTCAGCAGAAATTTTAATGTTTTTTGTTTTCAAGTATTAATCTTTTGATTGTATTTTAAGTCATAGCTTAATTTATCTTTTTATATTTAACAGAGTTGAATTCTTGGGGTTGTGGGAGTAGTATATCCAAGTGTTTGTCAAGAATGTTTGGGTAACAAGCAGTGAGCAGTTCTGTGCAGGCACAGAAACCATCCAAAATCGCATCAAACTTACCTTCATTTTCCCCAGCCCCACCCCCAAAGAGGCATATTGCCATTCCAGTCCCCCCCCCCAGTTTTTGACTAGGTCACAGCCCCTCCCCACAATGTTTAAAGACCCATAGATGTCTACCCCACCCCAACTAGAAGTGGACTTCTAAACATGCGTTATTTATTTATTTATTTATTTGATTTATACCCCGCCCATCTGGTCTAAAAGACCACTCCATTTGAGATGAGGTAGTAGTTTTGATTTTTGCAGCCTTGGAGGAAACATGGGTGCTCACTCCTGTTGTAGAAACCAGGGAAAGGTAAGAGGTTTCATAATTAGGGAGGAACTCTAAACATTCCAGATTAAATTCTGGGTTCAATTAGGAAAGTATCATACCTGAAATCCTGTGGACACTCAAAGACAACCCCCAAGATAATATCTAAGGAGCATGGCCAATGGGAGTTTTAGTCCCAAAAAGGAACCTTTCCAAGCTGCAGGCTTTCAATTAGTCACTCACTTGCATCTGGACTCGTTAGTACATTTAACTTTACCATGAGGTGAAATGTGTCTTTTCTAGAGAGCTACCGGGTGCATATCAGGCTACTCATTCAATTAAGTTTTACTAGGATTGGAAATCACTGAATCATAGAATAACTGAATTGGAAGGGGCCTATAAGGCCATCAAGTCCAATCCCCTGCTCAATGCAGGAATCCAAATCAAAGCAAATCTGACATGATTGTTCAGTTTTATTTTGAATGCCTCCAGCATTGGAGCACTCACCACCACCCAAGATAACTGATTCCATTGTTGTACTGCTCTAATAGTTAAGAAGTTTTTTCTGATATTCAGCTTGCATCATTTCTGAAGTAACCCTGTGGGTATCTGTTTTCATTCTAGCTCTTGGAGAAGGGAAGGACAACTTTATTCAGTGTCCTAAGGAAGCTCTACAATGGGAAGAAAGGAAGTGTCTAATTTTAGAAGAAATCCTTGCCTATCAACCAGATATTATGTGCCTTCAGGAGGTGGACCACTACTTTGATACCTTTCATCCATTACTTAGTAGAATGGGTTACCAAGGTACTTTCTTCCCAAAACCATGGTCTCCCTGTTTAGATGTTGAGTGTAACAATGGACCAGATGGCTGCGCCCTTTTCTTCCTTAAAGACAGATTTACTCTCATCAACAGCACCAACATCAGGTTGACTGCCATGAAGCTCAAAACCAACCAAGTGGCTATAGCTCAAATACTGAAATGTAATGAAACTGGCAAACTCTTCTGTGTTGCTGTGACTCATCTGAAAGCTCGCCACGGCTGGGAGAGATTTCGATCTGCCCAAGGGGCTGACCTTCTTGAGAACCTAAAACAGATCACCCAAGAGGCAGAGATTCCTCTCATTGTCTGTGGCGACTTCAATGCTGAGCCTACTGAAGAAGTGTACAAGGAGTTCTCCAACTCCAGTCTGAATCTGAACAGTGTTTATAAACTCCTGAGCAGTGATGGGTTGTCAGAGCCTCCATATACCACGTGGAAGATCCGCCCCTCTGGAGAGTGCCGGCACACACTAGACTATATCTGGTATTCACAACATGCCTTAAAAGTAAATGCTGCTCTCAATCTTCTGACTGAGGAGCAAATTGGACCGAACAGACTGCCATCCTTCAATTACCCTTCAGACCATCTGTCTTTAGTATGTGACTTCACTTTTAATGAAGACCCTGACCGGCTTTTATAGTTAGTTGTGGTTTAGAGAGTTGTGCACGTATTATTTTTTAAAATGTACTGTTTATGCAGCCAGTGGCCTTTTAAAACGGGGCCCTGAAAACTTTGGGGGAAAAGGGGTATTTATGAATGGAGAACTAATGATTTATTTTCACCTGTAACCTCAAAAGATGTTTGTCATTAACACCTAGTAAAAAATTATCTCATGCCAACTTCTTGTTTGTAGTATATTTTATAATTATGTCACTTGGTTAGAAAAATTAACTGTACCCATATTTTCTGTTTGAAAAAGTACTTTGGCAATAAATGCACAGATCATCATGCATTAGTGTAGTTACCCTCTATGCGTATATTATGTGGAGACACTGGGCCAAAGATGCAAAACACACACAGTAGGGTTCCCATTGACGTACATACACATACTGTGTTCAGAGTTGTAGAAATAAATGACCAGTAATTCCGTCATAGGACCCTTTTTGTTCTTGAAATGCAAATGCCTAGCAGACTTAATTAAAACATTTCCAAATGTGACCTGAATTGTATCTCCTAAGTGAATTGAGGAAAAATCGTTCAAACATAGCAAGGTTGTGAAGCTTTGCAATGGATAGATCTTTCAAAACTGTTATTTTCATCAGGCATAAGGGCCTATCCTAGGGTGGGCAAAAGTACAGTCCTCCGGATGTTTGTTAATTGTAGCTCCTAGGAGCCTTCGCTTGGAGCTTGTAGTTCAGCTGGAAGGGTCCAAAGTATCTGCCTTTGGCCTAGCCAGACATAACATTGAAAAGGTGTGATATTAAGTTTTTACCTAAATCGCAAATCACATGAAGTTTCCTAGAATGCCACATCCTGGATTTTATTTGGGGCTCTTCCTATGGTTCTTAACACTTTTAGAGCTTGCAGACATTACCCTTCTGAACTACGATTCTCAGAATGCTTTCTGTGTGGTTCTGAGTTGTCATCCAAAAATGTAACCTATCCAAATTCTGCACTTCCTAAAAAGGATCATGGATCTGTTCTTACATCTGCCTTAACTTGCAGTTATACTGTATAGCTGCATTCCATTCATTTATCTTACTCTTGGTACAAAGTAGACATTGCTACTGTATTGACGTTAATGGTGCAGTTCAACTCTGTCCTAACTGATACTATATTTTTCCCCTCTCACCCCGAATATAAATCAAATAAACACTGAACAGTGGGCAAAATGTATATCCCAACATTAGGTACCTGTTGACTTTTCACTACATTTTCAGTACCATAAGACTTCATGGCTTGCTACAAGCTCATTCTACCCTCTTCTGTCTAAAACCAGATTTTCAGGATATTGGAAGAATGAAGCTACACAGCATTGTATCTGGGTGAACACCAGAGGGCATATTAAGACAAAAAAGAGAGAGAGACCAAAGTAAAGTTCATGTCTGTATTTCAGTAAAACCTACTTGAATACACTTTGAAACAAGAGTACAACAAAATAGAATATACTTTAAATGTTGAATATACAAACTATTATAGTTCATTTTGAACACTGTTACTTCCCTCTAACTTCAACTAAAAATGTACAGGCTTTAAAACTACCTGACAAGAGTTCATGCCAAGCGTGACCTTTCGAGTGACAGAGTAGAAGCTGAAACTGAAACATATGCACAGATGTCGAGGCAATGTGGGTGACCCAAGCCTGGTGCAGCAAAAGGCCAAAACAAACACTCTGGCCACTTTGCCCACAATTAAGAAACCAACAGACTTGACTACCATACAAAATATGTTACATGTAATTCTATAACAATACTGAGCTAGGTATAAGATTTTTAAAAAACTGTCTTAATAAAAAAAATGCTTTACACAAACAAGCCATTAGCTTATTTCAAGAAAGATAACTGAAAATCAGTCTAAGGCTTTCATTTTAAAATCTGCTCAAGCTGTATGATACAAAAATCCCTCTAGCTCTTCACCTTCGTTTAGAAGCTCTTTGACCCCTCTCCTTTTAATTCACATTCTAGAATACCAAGTAGCAGAGTTTTTCACGTAGCACCAGTTGAATACTGTGGGTACACAGTAGTAATTGCTGGTATTCACAATAAAAATGCATCGTATTTATCTTTTGTAACAGTGAGCCTCTTCCTACCCACAAATACACATAAAACTGAGAACCCCTCACAGATCCAGCTTAGTGTTCCATGTCTTAGTGTAACTTGAGAAGGCAGTGACCCTCTTCAGCCCCACCTTCAAGTCCCTGGAATTTTTCTTCTTCATCTGCTTAGTCATTTCCCAATTGGCAAGAGGCAAATGTGTCAGTGTGCGGATGTGGTTCAATTCCCACGAAAACATGAGATAGTATTTCATTTCCAGTAAGTTTCTAATATATGTCTAACTATTAACAATTTTTAAAATCTCAGCTTTTGTTGAATTTCTTGATTGTGTCCATTTCCCTGCATCTCTAAACATGTCAGTTTGCTTAATTCCACATTGGTCTGTATAATTAATAGTTCATAGCTGCCTTTTCTTCATTTCTCGCATGTCACTATTCCCTCCGTTTTTACTGTGACTGGGAGGGCAATGGCTGAGGGTGTACTGACAACAACCACATGGGTTACTGTCTTCGTTCCATCTGCTGGCTTCTCTTCTTGCACAAGTTGTAGTGTCTTAACCTCCCGTTCCTGCTTTAAAGCCACTGCTTCGGATTTTACTTCTGGACCTTTTATGACCGCGCTGATAACTCTGGGAGGGGTATGGCTACCTGCCTGCTGGGCAGGCATAGACAGTCTCATCACAGGTGTCCCATGAGCTATAGATACTGGAGTAAGTGCTCTCACAGCCAGGGGTGTTCCAACTATGTTGATGCTTCCTGTCCCAGGCAAGCCAGTTTTTGTTTGCAACTGGCACTGTGCCAATTGCGTGGCAGGGATGGTGATTATTTTTGTAGGCTGCATTGTGATTTTCTCTCCATTTTCAGCAGATGCTGGCATCACGGTAGGGATTGTCTGGATTACTACCTTTGGGGTTGCTGCTGTTGTTGGGCTTGTGCTGGTAATCAAGGGTGACCCTGTATTTACGGACTGCACTGCAACTGTTGATATTTTCTGTCCAAGAGACGTCATCACAACAGGCACTTGCATAGCCACACGCACAGTCCTATCACATATACAAAGATGAATATTACATTATGATCAATTAATACAGAGAAATAATGCAAGTAAGTGAATACCACTGGTCTGATCCTATTTTCATAGCAACAATTTTACAAGGGACGGGATTTTTGGATTTTCTAAACAACAAAAACCATAATCCTCCATTCTGGGAGTTCTAGCTACTTTATAGGCATCATAGATTCCCCAAATGTGATGTACCTGGGAGAAAGGCCTAAATTAGAAAGCTTTGAGGCTTAACTATGCCTTCCACTAATTGCCCTATTCCTGCCCCAATGCTAGCTGGGAGCTTTCCTTCTAAGCAGTATACTTGAGTGGCGCTTGGCCTCGCTAAGCCTCAAAACCTTCTGATGTAGGCTTTTTTCTCAGATGCATCACACTCCGGTATCTGCAATATGCCTGTAAAGTAGGCAGAACTTCCAGGATAGAGACCTATGGCATCTGTAGTTCAGAAAATCCAAAAATTCCATCCCTATATTTTACCCTTCCCTATAAATCACTTATCAAAGTTTCAGGATTTAGTTTCTCTGTCTCTCTACTGCTGCTGCTAGAAGAATTACAATAAAGTATCTAAAAAGATTTAAAGTATCTATAAAGATTGCAGGATTAAATTAGTTTAACAGTAAGTTTTTTCAGATTTTCAAAGTGTGGAGTAAAGGCAGCCTTTGAAAACTGAAAGGCAGCAAAGCCAAAAGAAAAGCCAGTTTTTGGAAGCCATGAGCCAGTAAACAAACATGTGTTTTTAAAAAACCACAAATATTTAATACATCTCACTTCAAACTCAAATCACTGAACAATTTGGTTTATGGATTCTGTACTTGGAAGAATGCATCAATCTTTAGAATCTCAGTTTAAGTAATCACTTTTAGAAAGAGAGGTACAATTTCATTCAAAAGTGCTACACTGGTTCCTCCAACCCTCAGCTCATCTGATAGGCAAATCATGCAGTGCAAACCTGGGAGCAGTTGTTGCAGGGACAGTGGTAGTGGTGGGAGAACATGATGAGACTTCATGCCCAGATGAGGAGATATTCACCACTCTGGTAACGGGCTTCTCTGCTCTTGCACAGTTCAACTGAGATGCATTTTTTCCAGCACGAGCCGAGGTTGCTGCTTTCAAGAGGTTTTCTGCAGATAATGACACTCGTTCCAATGATTTCTCGTCCGTGGGGATTGATAAATCTTCACTACTACATTCACTTTTGTCATCAATAACCACTATGTTTTTAGGCATTTCCTTAAACTGATACACAAGCCTTTGTCCTTCAACTTTTGCCAAAATTCCTCTTTGATAGTAGTATCTTCAAAGAAAAATACAAGAAAAATATATTTAACATAAATATAAATCATTGTTTTCTTCTCTTTTTAAGCTTGCATGTTAAGAATAGCATATTTTCCTGCCTTAACATAACACATGCATACCAGACTGTAAAAAACACTGAAAACTAAAATCAGGTTAAGATTTTTAACAATTAATTAGGTTTCTGAAAAGAAAATGTAATCTGAAAGCTTAAGATCATTTTATTAAGCGAAAATCTCAAGAAAGTTTGCATTATAACTCCCCATTAACTCTTATAATGACATTGGTTTAAAACAAAATTCCTCAAAATTATTTCTTAACATATCTACTCCTCTTTACCTCAGAGCCCTTCCCATTGTTTCATAGTTCATGTCAGGCTTGTTCTTGTGCTTTCCCCATAGTTTGGAAACAGCTTTTGAATCCACAAGTTTAAAGATACCCTTCTCCCGCTGAGTCCACTTGATATATCGGGGACAAGTATTTTTGTCCTGAAGTAGATCTAGAAGGAATTCCCACAAGTAGGTTGTGTTTCCTGCAACAAAAATAAAATTGCATACCACCTGTTTTTTTAAGATTTCCCAACCAAAATATATAGTACCAGATGTATAGACAGATTCACTCTATATATACACACAGAGAGAGAGAGAGACAGAGAGAGTTGATGCAGTATCACTTCTAAATGACAAAACATACCTGTGGAAACAGGAATCTAGTAGAAAGTAAACATTGCTCATACATGGCAAATCAATAAACTTATATAAACTCTAAAAAGAGAAGTTGTAACCAATTAATAGAGTAAAGCAACATGAAAATGTTTCCTCAATGGATTCACAACAGCGTAAGAAATTATTATAGCATTACCTTTGCCTTCTCTTGGCTTCTTCTTTATACCCAGGTCTGGAGCTGCACTGGAAATGGCTGGTGGCACTTGAGTTTTTGGCTTACGCCCAGCTGCACAGAAGGGTTTGAAAAACTGAAATGTGCAGGTAGAAGTAATGCTTCCTAGTTGGAGTTTAGATCAAGTTCAGGTTTTCACCCAAATCTAAATAAATAGTCCATTACCTGATGATACACTAAGATTGTGTCTCAAATCCCAATTTCATTTGTTTCATTTTAAAGAAAATAATCTAATTGTATTCCATGTACTAACACACTATGACTGATTCACTGATATTGCAATTATTCCCCTTATGTAAATGGACTTGATTATGTATGACCTCCATAAATAATAAAAAACCCAACTTTTTTGTTACACCATTGGTGTAATGTCATTCATGTAACATTCAACAGTAAGTTGCTGCAGGTTAAGAAGTCAGTGTAGGCATTTCCTATTGCACACTGAGTAAATACAACGGCTGTGTGACAGGAAGCACGTGTGTTAATATCTTGAAACACTTTGCTGCAAAGTTATGCCAATGACATTACACTGGTGAGTACAATGGATAAGATTCCTATAACACAAAATTCCTTCCATAGAATTGAGAGTGCAGAAACACACGTCTGATGTTGTTTAGCCTAAGGGAAAAGCATTGCTACGTCCCATTTTCATAGAACACTCATGGTAAACTGGGAATCTCAACTCCAACTGCAACAAATACCCCATGCATCACTTCAAAATAAATCCATGTGTCACTTCTAAATAAAGAGATCTAAACTCTGTATTTAGGTCAGTATAATATTCAAGTCAAAACATACCAGAATCATTACGGCAGGAAGTTTATTGTTTTTATAACCCTCCTTTTTAAAAAAGCACTTTATTGCTCAAAATCTAGAAATGATACATTCACAACTCAGCTATCCTAATTTTTTATTAAGTCAAATAAGTCAAAATACTAGTTTATATAGATAACATATATTTCTTTATACCATTTTTCTAGCAGCATGCTGAGCCTTGCAAATCATTTTTTTTACTTTTTTTGTTGTTACTTTCTCCAACCACTTTTTTCAATACCTTTCTTTTTTTTCATTGGTTCATGGATTTCTGGAGAAGCTGGTACAGGGGAGGTATCCATTGGTTCAGATTCCTCAGTTGACACCTCCACTACTGTTTCTGTAATCACATCTGGCCTCATTGCAGCATGGATGAATTCTGGAGTTGACACACATGGTGGGACAAAAACTTCCACTAGAAGAAGCAAACAAAGACTTTTTAACACCCACTGGACACAATCCAGTATGTTTTGCACTGCAAAGAAGTACTTTCTGGAAATGTAACCAAGATAAGTTTTAACCCAACAAAAAGCAACACCATTTCTAAAACCTTCTGCTTTATATGCATCTCTAACATATTCACACATATCATAATGCATGGGGAAATATAGTCTATGGTAATATAACACGTCTGATTCAATAATTTGCTTCCAGAAACTGAATATTACATGTGAATTTAGAAAAGGGTTGAAATGGTGCCAGTGGTAAATTTTACTGCCCTGAACCCCATACGCACAGCTGCAGTAAAAAAATATATGCTACTGAAATTAAGTGATGCAGAACTAGGGACAACCCTCCACATTTTTATGAGCTTTTAAATCAAGGTGCACACAGAGCATGCACCTCATTTTACATAATATTTGCATTTCTGGAAGACTTCCAAAATTGCAACTACACTTTAAAATCAAGTGTTTCTATGTGGCACTTTCCAAGTGGCACTTTCAATGGACCTCTGTTTACAATAAATTTAGCCTTCCTGTCACTGCACCACTGAACATCACCAACAAACTTAGCCATGGGGCAGCAGCCAGAAAATCAGGCAACAGAGCAGATCCTGCGCCAATAGTCCTGGTACAGTGGGGTCTCTAAAGAACGTCCCTACTTAAGAACAATCCAACTTAAGAACAGCTCTATTTGCTAAATTTTGCTTCTACTTGAGAACAGAAATCCAAGATAAGAACAGGAAAAAAAACCTTTCCTGCTCTTTTTGTAACCTTAGGTCATCCTAGGTTAAAAAAAAATTCTTCCCCTAGTGGTAGAGTACGTATTAACCCGCTTTGCATTAGTTCTTACGAACGCACCTCTACATAACAAAAAAACAGCCACAATGGATTAATTGGTTTTCAGTCCATTCCTATGGGAAATTTTGCTTCAACTTAAGAACGTTTCAACTTAAGAACACCATTCCAAAACGGATTTAAGTTCTTAAGTAGAGGTTCCACTGTAGTTTCTATGGATGGAAAAGAGCAGATACGGATTAAATGGTTTTCAATGCATTCCTATGGGAAATGCAGATTCAACATAAGAACTTTTCAACTTGAGAACCACCTTCCAATACGGATTAAGTTCTTAAGTAGAGACCCCACTGTATAGCCCATGTGTTGGCCATCTGTTTTAGGTAAACCAAGGAAAGAAAATTTTGCATCAAAGGGCAGAAGATAAATATAGTATCTTCAATAAATCTGGATGACTGAAAGAGTAAATAGGATGAAAATTAAAGACAAGTTACCTGAAATTATTTCATCTTCCCTATAGATCTGAAAAGATTTTATATACCATAATGTTCACACTCAGCAAGACTATTGTGACACCTCACAGTTCTACACAACTAGAACAAATTCACGAATGTTCATAAAAATGAAGTTGTGAGATGGGTAAGCAGCACATTGCAACCTACTAAAGTAATCCACAACTGATCTGCATGTTACCTTTCTGTCGCATAAACTCCTTATAAATTAGGTTTGCTATGGGAAAACTAATGGAGGTGACTTTTTTCATGTTTGTTCCACACAACAATATAATTTATTTTGTGCAGAGTACATAACATTGCCAAACATCTATTTGAACTATTGACATACCAGGTGTCCTTGCATCTCTTAAGCAGGTTGGAGATTCCATATGAAGCAAGGCTTCTGCTGCTTCAATTGTCTTATCTGAACAGTGCACATTGCTGCCATGAACAGATGCTTCCACTGCCGAAGAAAATAAAAATAAATCTATCACACAAATGCATGTGGTTGACTGGTATTCTGAACCAGTTGTCATATATGGCCAAATGCATACACACCAAAGTCACAAATTGAACATTATTATGAAAAATGTTTTTGAAAACAACATAATATGTATTTTAGGTAAGAATTCAACGCTTTTCTTTTTACAGCCTTATATTCCATGGCAGAAGCACTTCAGATTTGATCAGGTTAGAAGAATGTGCAGGAAAATAAATTTACACTAGTACTAGATACCTTTATAAATAGCTCAAATAGCAAATATATTTGATTGACTAAAACAATAATCACCAAATTTTAAAAGACAGAACAAAGAACAAGTAATTGGCAGTCAGAGAAAACAGCCCACATTGTGCACTGTGGAGGATTCTCATCTACTAACACAGTTTCTTTCCCACTAGCCATTTCTCTCCCTATTTATAATACAAACACCCAGGATGTGGTAAGCCAAGTACTAAACACAGATCCAAGATTCAGTTTATCATTCTGTTCTATCCATTATCAGGAAACATACCTGATGAAAACTGTCTGGGAAATAATTCAATGGACAACAATCAAGAGCGGGAAAAGACATAGTGGCCACTTTTGATGGTCCAGTGGTATGCAAGGTATTGCTCGATAGTCACTCAATGTTATACTGTACATGATGGTATATGAGGCTACAAAATGAGATCAGGGGACTGGCTATGTAAAAGGTTGGGGGAAAACTGGAAATGTATAATAAAAAAAACTTTTTCCATGGTTTCAAAACTTCTCTGCTATGAAGAAACTTCAGCCTATCCTTTTGAGTCTTTATGACTTAGCACTGAACTGTCTGTTAAACATATTAGTACATTCCTAATCACATTGCTTAATCTCATTCTCTTTAATCATAATTTCAAAGGAAAAGAAGCAAACATATTCATCAGGATGAATATTCAACCCAGAACTTCTGTACCTGCTTAACAATTACCCCATATAACGACAAATCCGCTTCACGACTCGTGGCGCAGTGGTTAAACTACTGTACTGCAGCCAAAACTGTGCTCACGACCTGGGGTTCAATCCCAAGTGGCAGCTCAAGGTTGATTCAGCTTTCTATCCTTCCAAGGTCAGTAAAATGAGTACCAGGGGGCCTCCATAATTAACTTGTAAACTGCCCAGAGAGTGCTTGAAGTGCTATGGGGCGGTATATAAGCAGCACACTTTGCTTTTGCGATCGCAATTGTGATCGCAAAACAATTGTTTTAAATGGTTTTTTTTCTCTTTGTTTTCTCTTTGTGATCGCAAAACAATTGTTTTAAATGGGTTTTTTTCTCTTTGTGAAGATCGGCTCCCTGCTTCGGGAACCGATTCTTTGCATTACGACGATCAAAACAGCTGATAGTCGGGTTTTCAAAATGGCTGCTGGGTGCTCAAAACGGCTCCCCGCTGTGTTTTTGGATGGATTCCTCGCTCTACAGACACTGAAAATGACCGCCCCTATGGAGGATCTTCGCTGGAAGGTGAGTTTTCAGTCCACTGAAACGCTTTGAATGGTTTTCAATGCATTTCAATTGTCTTTTTTATATTGCTTTACGATGTTTTCGCTCTACAGAGATTTCGCTGGAATGAATTAACGTCGTTAAGCGAGGCACCACTGTATACCATGTGGAGGAACTGTAGTAGAAAAAGAGGAAAAGCCCAGTGAGCCGTCCCCTCAACTAGAGATGCCCCAGCAGAAAAGAGCTATAGGAACGAAAAGGGTAATGGAGAAGGAAGAACTGAATATAGAAAAAGAGAAGGGAATGGAATCAAAGGAGAAAGAGGGACAGATCAAGATATGCCTGGTTGAGGAGGGAGATAGGAGAGGAGGAGCTAATCTGGCCAGTATGGGAAGAGGATACAGTATAGGGGAATCGGGTGGGAAGAGAGAGGACTGTGTGCCAATGATGGGAGAAAGAGGGGGAAAGGGAGAAAGAGAGTAAAGGGGAAGAAGAATTAGAATATGAGAGAACAAAGGGATTGCTAGAAGACTTCCCTAACTTAAAAGTGGGTGGATTATTGCCTGATCCGGATGCTCCAAAAGGAAAGGGGGCATCTACAGATTCTTTGGAATGGACAATTATGGTTTATCCACGGGGACAAGGTCGCTAGAAGAAGGTGATCCGGCCGGACTCTTCTTTCAACCATCCACCACCGGAGGGAGATTGGGCCAGACACCCATGTTGTGGCATGATCTGCGCGATTCAGAGTATGCCAATGAACCCCTCAATGAACCTTGTCAGTTTTGGGACAGAGTTGTTGTCCTCACGTTATGGGTATTTACTTGACATTGGTTGTTTTGAACCTGTAGAAGTTATTATATATTCACCTAATACTAAATCGAATAAATCTGTTGACGTTCAAAAAAAGACTCAGTTGTTATTTCCCCCCAAAAAGGAGAAACTGCTTCAGATCTTTAATGAACTCAATCACAATGGCGCCCAACGTTGGGCAGTTCCAATGGCGGAAAATAATGAAATGTCGAGATTACAACAGACAATAGAAAGACAAGAAAGTCTGCTAGAAACCTTGACAGAACAACAAACTTTATTGATGAAATGAATTTTAAAACAAGAGAAGAAGACAGAAGGAGAGAAAGGACAGAGATGGGTCACCCAAAGAACATGTGGGTGGCGGGCCCTGCACCTATTAGGGTACAAAATATGGGATCTACTGATGATCCAAAAGCATATCTACATACCTTTGAGATAGTAGCAGTTGCAGCTGGTTGGTCTAAAGAGAAATGGACTTTGATCTTAACTCCTTGCCTCACGGGGATATTACAAGAGGTGGTAGACACCTTGTCTCCAGAAGAAAGTGCCCAGTATGAAATAGTGAAGACAGCAATTCTACACACCCTCAATTTGACTGAAAAAGCAAATAGAAAGAGGTTCCGGAAATTAAAGATGAAACTTTGAGTACATCCACGTCCGCTAACGCAAAGGATGAAAGCTAATTTAATACGATGGTTACAGTCCGAGGAAAAATCTAAGCAACAACTATTAGAAATACTCGTTATGGAACAATTGGTCACGACACTGGGAGGTAACCTGCGAAATTGGGTGCAAAAGAATCATCCCAAGATCCTAAAAGAAGCAATCCACCTAGTGGAGGATTTCTGCAATGCAAAGGATTATGGAAATAGCTCCTCTTCCTTTACAAAGAAAAACAACAGACAGGAGAAGATGGAGGCACAGTTTCCAGGGTGTGGTGCCATAAGGAGTTTTCAACCCTAGTGTATCTGAGAAGGGAAGAGGATGTGGATTTGAGAGCATGGGACCGAAACCAGTGAGACCCATAACCTTTGACCACTGCCTATTTGAGAACAGAAGAGGCTGGAAAGGGAAAGGAGATGGGAGACCTGTTTGCTTGGAATGCGGTGTAGAAGGCCATCTCCGGCGTGAATGCCCAGGGACATATTGTTCCTGGGTAGGACAGAACTAGACAACCATGCAGGTCTAAGGCTCTGAACAGAATGGATGGGAGGTGATAGTGTGGGTGAATGGGGAGAAGAAAAAAGCATTGGTAGACCCGGGTGTGGTAAGACTCTTGTACAGAGTCTAAAGGGAGCAATGTTAAAAGAAAGTATGTATGTCAAATGCATTCATGGGGATTCAAAATCATATGGTACGGCCTGGGCCAATATAGAGATAGGAGAACACAGAAGGCTAAATGTAGGAGTTTTACCAGGGTTAACCAGAGATATGTTATTAGGACGTGATTGGGTGGGGCCCCACAAACTATTACAACTGAGAGAAGGCCTACAGGGAGAATGTGAAGAGCACAGAGACAACAATGACTTTTTTGAGAATACTTAGTGAGAACAAACTCACCTGTGGCAGCAGGATGATTCTACTTTACAAGAAGTCTTGAGAGAGGCCCAACAGGGGGGAACAATTGTAAAAGGCAGCTTCGGTTTCGAAATGCAAGAAGGTTTGTTGTATCATGTAGATAAAGAGGGAGGTAGACAGTTGGTAGTTCCTCAAAAATAGAGAAAAACACTGTAACAGTTGGCCCAGGATGTACCCATGGCCAGCCATTTGTCCACTCATAAGATGATGCCTCGCATAGTACAACGATTTTGGTGGCACAGAGTAAGCAAGGAGGTGGAAGAATATTGCTGGACTTGTAAGGAATGCCAGGTAACGCAGATTAAACCTAGGCCTGGAGCCCCTTTAATTCCTTTGCCATTGGTAGATCCTCCCTTTGAGAGAATAGGGATAGATATTGTAGGCCTTTTGATTAGGTCAGCAGGGGGCCATACTCAAATTCTGGTTTTAGTAGATTATACCACCCGATATCCAGAAGCCATCCCTTTGAGATCTACTACTACCAAAGTTTTGGCTAGGGAGCTGATGCAAGTGTTCTCAAGATTAGGTTTCCCTAAAGAAGTCTTGACGGACCTAGGTACTAATTTCATGAGTCAGACCTTTAAAGAATTATGGCGGTTATTAGAAGTTAAGCTTGTCCATACCGCGGTGTATCACCCACAGACCAATTGGTTAGTGGAAAGGTTTAATAAGACATTGAAAGTGATGCTGAGGAAGCTAGAGAAACCACGTACAGTGGTGCCTCGCATAGCGAGGCTAATCCGTTCCGGATTAACCCTCGCTATGGGAAACATCACTGTGCGGAAATAAAAAAGCCTATGGCTTGAAAACTCACCGTTGTGCAAAGTTCTTCCATAGCGCCGCCATTTTCGCGCCCTCGGTAAGCGAGAGCAGGGCGCGAAAATGCGGCGGGGGCCTTCCGGCCGCCATTTTGGAACCGCCAATCAGCTGTTCTCCCCCGCTTCGTTATGCGATATTCGCTAAGCGAATTGCTTAGCGAATATCACAATGCAAAAACCCTCCATAGGGGCCATCGCTGAGCGAATGCTCCAGCGACAGCCCAGAGCCCCTCGCTAAGCGATTTAATCGCTCTACGGGGCACTCGTTATGCGAGGCACCACTGTAGATGGC